AAAAAAAAAAAAAAGAAAATGTGCTTTAATGTACCATTTCTTAGAAAACTTCTGTAGGATCCCCACCCCCACCATGCCAAACAAAGGAGTAATCCAAGAAAGAGTTGCAAATCCAAGAAATAGGAGATCTTTCCCAGGAAAGATGCAAAGTCTCAGAACAGTAGTAAGGAAAGATTTCAAGACATTCCACAGGCCTAAGAACATATTACAGAGCAATGTGATGGGGGAAGCCCAGGGGAGATATAACTACGGGGAGAAATAAGAAGGTCTCTAATATGTCTGAATATATGAAAAGGAAATTTGTATTTCTGTTAAAAGATTTGGAGGTGAATTACTGATGTGATATAAAAAGCTAGAGAAACCGGACGTAGTAGCTCATGCCTGAAATCCCAGCACTTTGGGAGGTGGAGGTGAAAGGACTACCTGAGCCCATGGTTTTGAGACCAGCCTGGACAACATGGCAAGATCTTGTCTCTACAATAAATCAAAAATTTAGCTAGGTGTGGTGGCACACACCTGTAGTTCCAGCTACTTGGAAGGCTGAGGCAGAAGGATCGCCTGAGCCCAGCAGGTGGAGGCTGTGGTGGCCATGAGCACGCCACTGCACTCCAGCATAGGAAGACAGAGACTCCAACTCAAAAATAAATAAGTAAATAAAATAAAATAAAGACACAAACAAAAAATTCATATAATAACCCTGGGGCAAAAGAGATACTTAGGCACAGAAAAACCACTCTTCACTCGGCCATGACCTGTCCTTATCAAGCTGGGAGAATGGTTGGGAATGGGGGATGGTTAACAGATACTTGTGGTTTACTGATCTAACAGCCATTTCTAGTTCCCTTCTCCTTTGTCTTGCCACACCGTACTTCCTTGCCTGGAAAATCTAATTATCCCCTCTCCAAACTTCTCTTGTAGCAGTGGGTGACCAAGAAACTGTTCAAGTCAGTAATGTGTATAGTCAGAGGTCTATTAAGGGTTTTGGGGAAAGCTTTCACTTTCCTTATTGCCCAGGTAGATTTGGTTGTCATCCCCCTTCCTTTCTTTTTGTCTTGGACAAGGGTGAGTTGTGACAGTCACAGTGCAAACCTGAACCAACAAGCCAATATGCTAATGTTGATGGATAGAAAGAGCCCAAGTGACTGACCACGCAGATGAGCCACTGCGCCAATTCTGACAGGTTGACCTCTAAACTTATTGTGTGAAATCGTCAGTCAACCTTTCTGTTACTTGCAGCTGAAAGCAATAAAGAATTCTTAACTAATACACAGCATATGAGGCTAAAGATTCATTCTCTGTCATGGGAAGCCAACAGATGATGTCTAGAAATTTAAAAATCAAGAAGTAACATGTTCAGCCTGGGTGACAGTGAGACTACAACTCAAAAAAAAAAGAAAAGAAATAACATGTTGAAGCATGTTTTTACTTAGAAACATGATAGTATCTGAAAAAATAGCTAGCAGAATTAAAACTGGATACCCCTTAGGAGTGTGAACTGGGAACAGGTGGGGCCAGGAACTGCTCTTTTCACTGTAAGCCTTATTGTAGGATCTCTTAATACTAGCACGAAGGACATTTTGGGCCAGATAACACCTCGTGTGCAGTGCTGCCTCTGGCCTCACCCATTAGACGCCAGTAGCAACCCACCTCTTCCCCACTTGTGACAACCAAAAATGACATCTACCATTGACAAATGACCCTGCAGAGCAGAGCTGCCTCTAATTGAGAGCCACTGCCTTATAGTACTATGCTATTTCTTTAAATTTTATTAACACTGTACATGTATCATATTGATAAAGTTAAATTATGGATAAAGAAACCGAAGTATGACAGGAGCTGGCCTGGAAACTGCCAATTGTCATTTATCCTTTCAGACACCTCTCATCTCCTCAACCAACCTCTCCTTGCCCCCAAGGATCCTGCTCCTTCCCTCCTAGACAAAAGCAGACAGAATGGAGACACTCACCACCGAGAAACGCACACTCGTAATGGCTGCAGGTCTTGTTCGTGCTTTGAAGGATAAGGTTATGACCAGCCCCTTCCTTGGACACTTGAAAAACCTCACTCAGAGGTATGAGAGTCATTCTTTCACTTTCTCTAGCAGAAAAGCTTTCAACAGCAACGCCAAAGCATGTGAAGATGGACAACACAATCAGCTGATCGTCAGCAGTCTGTGGTTTGGCTGAGTAGGCCAAGGCCATGTGGCCAAACCTGGCTCGGTCTAGCCCTCCAGGTGTCAGTGAAGGACTCTGGCTCATTTGATATACCACATTTTTGTAACTGTCCTCACAAGGTCTTCTCAGCAACTGCAGAGCTCTTGTCAGGTAAAAATGAAAGGCTTTGAACTGGAAGTCGTAGATATAATCTTTCCGAGACTGGCCAGCCGTCTTCACAGCTTCATTGAACATGTGGTAAAAGGGAGTTTGCTCTTGAGCTTCATAAACGTATGCCATCAGGGCTATCCCATGGTTGTCCTTAAAATTCACAGGGAAAGAGATCTGAGGCTTTCGGGTTTCCCATCTGGCTTTTGCATGCTCCCACACAGCATCTAAGAGCTGATGGCTGGCTCGTTCGTCCTTGAGCAGTTGAGGAACATATTTGATTTCCATCTTGTCAGTGCACTTCAGGTATTCATCGTCAAATGCATTATCAGCCATGTCTAGTATTTCAGCCTTCACCTTCAAAGGAAAAGGAAACGAATACTTGAAATAAGACATTTAGTGAATGCCATTTTCCCTCACATGGCTCTTCCTACCCATCTCATTCCCTACCAAGAGTTTCTCCTTACTTAGAACCAACTTTGGGTATTTTTTTTTTTAATGTAGGAAGTTGATACAGTTTGGGTTGTTGTCCTCTCCAAAGTTCTTGTCTAAGTGCAATCTCTAGTGTTGGAGGTGGGGCCAGTGGGAGGTGACTGGTCCTGAGGGCAGATCCCTCAGAAATGGCTTGGTGCTGTTCAATTGGTGGTTGAAAAAGAGCCCAGCCCCTCCTTCTCATTCTGTCTCTGGCTCTTGTCATGTGACATGCCTGCTCCCCTCTGCCTTCCACCATGATTGTAAGCCTCCAGAGGCCTCATCAGAAGCTGGTACCAGGCAGAACTCCAAACAAACCTTTTTTTTTTCTTTTTTAAGTTGGAGTCTCACTCTGTCACCCAGACTGGAGTGCAGTGGCCGCTCCCAGCCACCGCAGCCTAGACCTGCTGGGCTCCGGCGATCCTTCCACCTCAGCCTTCCAAGTAGCTGGAACTACAGGCATGCCTACCACACCTGGCTAGTTTTTTATTTATTGCAGAGATGAGGTCTCGCCAAGTTGCCCAGGTGGGTCTCGAACCCGCGGGCTCAGGCAATCCATTCACCTCAGCCTCCCAAAGGCGTGGGATTACAGGCTGAGCCACCAAGCCTGGCTCAAACCTTTTTTCTTTATAAATTATCCAGACTCAGGTACTTCTTTAGCACAATGCCAAATGGACTGATGCAGAGAGGTATTCGCTATGGATACTTCTGATAATTTTCTCAACTGTGACATATGTTTTTGGAAGAGTAAATGTTACTGGGTGAGTGGTATGGGAGGGCTGTGCCTGTAATTCCTATCTGATCATTTTGGTGCAGAAGACAGAACAATGAGTATGCAACTGAAAAACATGGACAGAAGTCCTGGCTTTGAACAGTTTCTTAGCTAGATTTCTTCAAACCTTCAGAACTGTTGAGAATTTGAAATATAATGTGCAAAATACTATACATGACAGACACTACATGGCAAATATTACCCCTTTCCCTTGGGAATGCCCCTCCCTTGCCCATATGGCTTGAGTAGAACTGATTTATGCCTCTCGCCCAAAGGATGAGCAGATAACCCAGACCTAGCAATCAGAACACTCCCAGAGGGCACAAAGGGATCCTTCTTCCTTGAAAACTATAAGTTCTAAGGACACTATTGACTTGAGGCTTCCAACAGTTTCCTTCTGGTCCCATAGTGAATTTTGTCTGAAAACAAAGCAACAGAGAAAGGCTTACAGAACTTAAGAGTTAGCAAAAGATGAGAACCTGGAAACAACCTGGAGGCCCTAGGTCTAACCGTACATGAAGACTGAGCTTTGTGTCACCCTAGTCACAGACCCAATACATTTCCTATTTGCTTGAGCTACTTTGAATTGTGTTTTTTCACATACAACTGAAAAGGCATAATGCATCTCTAAATGATACATATGTTCATACATCATAAGAAGCAGGGTGATATAATGTAACTAACACTAACTAAAAGTCAGATAGATCTGAGACCAACTTCTACTTGTTATTAAGTAGTATGGAAAAGGTACTTGATATTTCTGAGCCTCGATTTTTTTCATTTAAAAAATGAAGATGAAGAGGAAGAAATAATGTCTTAACTTCAGGATTGTTGTGAAGATTAAATTACATAATGAATACATGCAAAGCCCTTAGAGTCCCATGCCTAACACATATCAAGCCTTCAAAACAATGTGGTGGTTGGGCTCGGTGACTCAGCCTATAATCCCAGCACTTTGGGAGGCCGAGATGAGTGGATTGCCTGAACCTGAGGGTTCAAGACCAGCCCAGGTAACTTGGCAAGACCTCATCTCCACAATAAATAAAAAATTAGCTGGACGTGATACTGTGCATCTGTAGTTCCAGCTACTTGGAAGGCTGAGGCAGAAGGATCACCTGAGCCCAGATGGTCGATGCTGGAGTGGCCATGAGTGTGCCACTGGACTTCACCTGTGCGACAGAGTGAGACTCCAACTCAAAAAACAAACAAAAAAACCAATGTGGTTATTTTTCATTATTTCATGATAGAAATGTATGCATTTTACTGTATGTCACTCAAGGGTAGAGTCTGTATCATATTTTTATCTTTGAATCCCAAGCACCTAGCATAGAACTTGGCAAAATATTCAAGTGGACTAAATAAGAACTCTGTACTCTGGCTTACAGGTCAACACACAGGATGAGCAAATCTGCCCAGGAACACCATTTATGAGTTTCTACAAATAAAAGGATAACGTTTCTTATTCTACTATTCCATACTTGTGTGGTGCATGGGTGCAGTAAGGGGCTGCACTTCTTAGACTCCTTTGCAGGCCTGATATATTCTAGCTGGTCACTAAATGTTGGAGTTTCTCAAAGTTGCTTATTTTCTTACTCTCAGCTCTATTCCTAGACAATTATGTACATGCTCACGGTTTCAATTATCATCTAAATACCTCTGACCTGTCCTATGAGTGCCAGACCTGTATAACAAATGCATGTTTAACTCCTCCGCTTGAATGCTTAAAGACCCTTCATGTGTAACATGTCTAAGACTGCATGTATAATCTTACAACCACAACTGTCTGGTCCTTATCTAAGATGATCTCTTCACGTTTGAAGTTTTCCTAGATGCCTCCTTCATAGTCACCTCTGTGTCCATTCCACCACTAAGTCCTAACAAGCATCTCCAAGGTTCTTTCTATACTCAGGCACTAAGTGCTTGGCAACCCTGTGAGGTCCGTACTATTATTAGTCCCTCTTTTTTGAAAGATGAGGAAACTAAGACAGAGCAAAATGGAGGTTTATAGAGAACTGGGATTTGAACCCAGGCAATCTGCCTCCAGGGTCTTGTCCTCTTAACCCAAATGTTCTGCTGCCTCTAAAGAATGAGAGTCTCTAATAATGAAGACCACAGACATTAATGTAGCACTTTGTAAAGGGTATAATTGTGTCTTCATAAAAGCACTTATAAAAGGTTGGATAGACAATTGCTAAAATTATTAACACCATTTTACAATTGCTGAACTGTGCCAGCATCAGAAACTGTCATGATTACTCGCCACAGAGAATTCTGCCAGGGAAGTCGCTGAGACCCCTGCACTCCTAGATTTGTAGGTCAGTTTCTTAACGTGGGAATTTGAGCTTCAGGAGATCAAATCACTGCTGTATCATAGCCAAGAAATGCACTTTCCTCTACAGCACAGAATGTACCAGAGTGTAGCTCAGCCATGCCTGATTTATCACCAAGACTTCAACATTGTATAAGACACCAGACACTGGAAGTACCCCCACATTCCTTGGATCATATTAGAGTTGATCTAAAATGTTCTTGTCTTTTCCCTATGCCTCTAACCAATCTCCAAATGTCTAATTTTAGACATCAGACCTTTCTGACCAGACACCACAGCTGATTGTGTGTTCGGTACAGTGCGTGCCTTGAGCAGTGATAAAGCTCAAAAATGCCACCATCACCAGAGACAACTGAGTAGATACTAAGGAAAAAATACAAAAGAGTAGGTGAACAAGCTGACTATATTTTCTTCCTCTGAGTTATCTACTAGAACAGAAGACCATACTGATTCAATTATCTAACACTTATTTTAAAAATGTGAAAATGACAAAGTTCAAGGAGAGAAACTAGCTATGCAAGTTATGGAGCATTCATAAAACAAATACACTTAAATGATATTGCAAAATACTGAAAATGCACATCAAAACCACAATGAAGTATCACTTCACACCCACTAGGCTGACTATAATGATAAAACAAAAACAAAACAAAAACCAAATAACAAGTAACACAAGGATGCAGAGAAATTAGGACCTTAATACATTGCTGCTGGAACTGTAATATGTGCATGCAGCCAGTGTGGAAAAGTCTTGACAGTTCCTCAAAAATTCAAACATAAAGTTATCATATCACATGATCCAGCAATTGCGCTTCCAAGAATATAACCAAGAGAACTAAATACATGTTCACAATAATGGGTAATTCTGTTATCATGTATCTTAAAGTATAGCCTCCCCACACCAAACTCATTTTCACAAATATTTATTTATTTCCTATATATCTAAGTTAACTTTACTATGCAATGCTACCAAATAACCAAACAGTGCTTCTAGTGTCTCTAGATATGTCAAAAAATATTATGTGATTATAAAAATTTTTAAAAGACAAAGAAAACATGTTCACACAAATATATGTACACAAATATTCACAGCAGCACTATTCATAATAGCCATAAAGTGAGAAGAACCCCAATGTCCATCAACTAATGAACAGATAAACAAAATGTGGTATAGCCGTACGATGGAATACCATTCAACTGCAAAAATGAGTGAAGTTCTGATACATGCTACAACATGGATGAAACTTGAAAGTTATTTTAAGTAGAAGCCAGACACAAAAGGCCACATGCTGTATGATTCCATTCAGGTGAAATGTCCACAATAGACAAAGCTACAGAGATGGAAAATAGATTTGTGGTTGCCAGGGAATGGAGGAAAGAGGGAATTGAAAATGATTGCTAACAAGTACAGGGTTTCTTCTGGGGGTGATGGAAATGTTCTGCAACTAGATAGTGGTAATGGTTGTACAACATAATGAATATACTAAAAACCAGTGAAATGTGCATTCTGTGAATTTTTATGGTTATGTGTATTGTATCTCAATTTAAAAACACACTGCAATATAGGCAACAGAATACATGATGATTCTATAGATAATGGATTATAATATTACACTTAAAAATGGATGACATTTTAAGAATTTAAGATATTTTTAAAAGACATTTAAAAATCAGTGTACAAATACCCAATAGTGATATGACAGCTAACAAAGAAAAAAATCAAGTGAAATATCTGTCATATCTCATATAAATTATGTTATAGAATGCTTAAAGATTCAACTGAAAATAAAACCATAAAAATTCTAAGGAAAAAAAAACTGAATGTGAGAAAATGATCTTTATATAATGTACTAAAAACCATTTAATCAAATAATACAGAATTATTATTTGGAGAAAAACATGATATTTTCAGAATATTTAATGATAAGGAGAGACAGGTAGCACAGTATTAACTTAAAAAGCAAGGTAAAAAAAAACAATACTATGTACAGTGTGAACTCATTTTTGTAAATTAACTACAGTACACATACAAACAAAAAAAGCCAGAAAGGTTGCATACACCAACAGGTTAAGAGTATTTTGAGGGCAGGGAGAGCAGGACAAGCGGGGCGGGGCGGGGGTGGGGTGAAGAGTATTTCCCTCTGAGTGGAAGGATTATGAATGATTTTTACTTTCCTCTTTTTGCTTAATTTTAATTTTTCAACTTTCTATGGTTAACATGTGTCACATATGTAAAACGAGAAAAAGCTACTTGTAATCAATGTATTTACCTATCCTAGCCACTCTCGTTTCCATCATCACCCCCACACAGATGCCTCAGGCAGTATTACATCAAGCCTTCCCATTCCAATGGCCACATGCTTCCCATTCCCCAAATTACCTGGAAGATGTCCATTAGAATCATGGCTGCCAATAGGATGGTGACCATTTCAAAAGGTCCTGTCTTCATTTTTCTCTTCTAAATTAAAATGAAGAAATTCCAATTTAGTAGACTCAAAAAAGAGGTTGAGGGGAGTAGAACAGGATAATTATATATATATTTTTTTTCTCTCTTTTTTTTCCCATTCTGGATGAGAGTGGATAGAATGATGGGCCCGGAAGTGATTATCAATACATTCCTAATGGCCACAAGAGTCGTTAGGAAGTGATTATCAATACATTCCTAATGGTCACAAGAGCCGTTAGGCTTTACCCAGTAGTCTAACACCCTCAGTCTACAAATGAGGAAACAAAAACTCGGAGAACGTCAGTAATTTGCTCAAGATCAAATCTGTCCATTTCGATACTCCTTCAGACATGTCATCTCTCCCACCAGAGTCACTGGTAGCCATATTATCTTCCTACCACTAAGTATCTCCTCAGTGTGCTCAGGAAATCACACAATCAACCAAAAAATTAGCAGTCTCACATTGGTCCCCTAGCTCCCAGTTTCTAAGAATTACCCAGGAACCCATCCATGTACATCATCCATTCTTCCATCCTCTTTGCAGACTAAGCCATGCCCATTTGAGTGGGATGGAAGCAACGAGGAGGCCAGTAGTGGTACAAGGAGGTAGACCGTCAGAGACAGACTACTTCCCCCAAACATTCATAACCAAGAGAAGCACAAGGGTAGAACAAATGTCTTGCATAACTGTCTGAAGGCAGAAACAAGAATAAGAAGGAACTGAGTAGGCAGCAATTCTAAGATTATACAACGCCACTGGCTGAATGCCCAATATTCAGCTCAGTACTTATGATACTGAAGGGGTAAACAGAAGGGCAAGAGGCCCTTAAAGGCCAAAGCTGTCCCAAAGCCATTGAACAATTCAATTAAAGGTTACAGCACGTTGGTACAGTTACGTCCACATCCCTCCAACCAAGTTGACATTACCAGAACTGAAATGCAGCCTTTATTTTATATTACCAACCATCATATTCTGGATTCTGAAAATGAGAATGAATGGCACAGGGGAAGGAAGACACTCTTTCCTCTTATAGATCATTTTGGCCCCAGTTTCCAATCTTTCCTCAGAAGCAATTTCTATTACTCAAGATATAAAAATGTAGTACTAAGATGCTACTTTGGTGCTAAATTTCTCTTTCCAAAAAAGATCTGGAATATAAGACTTGACAGATACTTGTCACAAGGCAGTATGTGCCAAGCAAACTCTGGATCACGATTTTCCTGGAAATTCTTCACTTCTTTAGTCTGAGTGTAAATAAGTCAAAATGTTTACCTGGCTTCTGTGCCTTTGGTGGAGTTTAAATGATGCTAGGTCTCAAACTGACTCCCGACTCTCAGTTGTGAGCGTGTTTTCAGGATGGGTTGTTGACAGTGAGAGTTGAGAAGGGAATGCTTTTCTTTTTATAAACACCCCCAGCAGTAGCTTGGCAGTAGCACATTACCCCACTTGTGTTCTGCTATTTATATCTGGCCCCCACACTATGCCTTGGAATCACTGCTGTTAACACTTTAAATCTCCTAGAGGCTTGTAAAGCCACAGCAATTTCCTCTAACCACACAGTATGTTCAGTTCTGAGTACACAGTTCTGAAATTCTCTCAAAGAAAAATCACTTCCCATTCCTAACCCTTTGACTACAAGACGTTGAATCAGAGATGGATTTTATCTAGCCAAGTGATTCACATAGCTAAGGGGACTGGCTTTGTTAATCACTGGCAATAGGGACAGATACCACCATTCACTCAACTAGCTTACTGTATTTGAGGAACCATCAGGTGCAGGGGCAAACAAGCAAGTAAAGCAAAGTAAAGCAGTCACAATCTAACAAGACCTGAATGTGCATACTTAACCACAATACAACATGTTAAGAACCCTAAGTACAGACAAAGTCCGGTGAGAACACTAAGGAGAGGAGGACTGGGTATCACCTGCAAGCCCAGGTCTCGTTTGCATAAGATACACATGGTGAATATATTGAATGTAAACATCATGCTGAAGAACACTCAGAGGTCACTGACTATGGGTTTTACAAAACACAAAATGTCTTAGAAAATTCATGCACGTGCACATCAAAATACATCAAGAGAATTTTGATAGTAGCATTATGCAGACTAGCCCAAAACTGGGATCCATCTAAATGCCTATCAACAGAAGAATGGATCGACTGTGGTATATTTATACAATGGAATTTTATATAGCATTAAAAATGAACAAATGATAGCAATGCGAATAAATTTCACAAACACAATTTTGAGCAAAAAAAGAGAGAGAAGCATGCATATGTTGCATGACTTAATTTATACAGAGAATAGTATCAGGTAAAACACACCTCAGGCATTAGAAGTCAAAGCAGCAGCCACCCTGGGTGGCAGGCAGGAGCTAAGGGGCACAGGAAGAACATCTGGGATGCTAGTTAGGGTCAGTGTTTGTTGTTGTTATGAATGCCAATTACACACATACATTCAGTTTGTGAAATTTTAACAAGCTATATACTTGTGATACATGTATTTGCCTATACATATATATGTATACATATATAATTTCAACTAAACATTTTAAATTGTCATGAAATACACCCATATTTACAAAATCCATCTTTACTCTTCAGACTTTCTAAAACTTCCAACCTAACCAATCTGAGATTAAACAGAGAAGACCCCTAGAAATAATCATTGTTTTTTAAAGGGAGTTTGGTTAGAAAGGGGGAAAAAAGGTTTGCACGTGTTTTCAGGCCTTAGGCTCACAAAGACCAGCTTTTAATAAAAGTCGCAGGCATTCGCATGGCTGAACGCCAGCTGGGCACAGGAAGCGGCCTCAGCCCCTCTGGCGAGACAGTGGGAGCTTTTAATATGAGTGGTTTTCCCCTCCCTCTCTGGGACTCCCCAGGCATATCCTCGATGGCAAACGCTGCTCTTGTGAGGGACCTTGGGCTGGGAGCTTCTGGTTCGGGCGCCAGGGGGCCTTTGACAGGTGGGCTGGGCCACTCTGGGGCATCAATGATCCCTCGGGTAGGCTCTGGGTCGGTGGATTGTGGCCTGGGGACGGTTTATAGGAGACGCTTTTAGGCACCAAGCCTGGTGGGCTTGGAAGGAGGTGGTGACGAGGGACCCTCTGCCGGGGACTCACCTTCTCCTGGGGTGAGGAATGGCAGGACAGAGACAGAACTCAAGTTGTAACTCACGGAAATAAAAAAGAAGTTGGTTTGAGGAGGCAGGGGAAGTCCCAGGCATGTATGCCTACAGAGAATGAGGTTGTGGGGTTCTCCCGTCTCTGGCTCCCCAAACCTGCCAGTTTCATCTATATATCACACAAAAAGCTGAATTCACCAAAAAAGAATATATCAAACACTGAATGAAGTTCAAGGCAAGGTCTTGATCATCACCAATATGGTCTTGATTCATTCCTGTTTTGTTCCCATCTTTGAACACTTATCTTCTTTCATTCATTCACCCGTTTGCCTGGACAACATAGAAAGACCTCCTCTCTACTAAAAACAATAATAATAAATAAATAAAAATAAAGTAGCATAAATGAGAGGAGTGCATGGAATGTTTGCAACTTAAATTGAATGGTTAGGGTGGAGACTCTGAAAAGGTGATGTTTGAGCAAAGACTTGAAGGAGATGAAGGCAGTCAGCCATGAGGATTGTGGAGGCTGAGTCGAGAGAAGAGCAAGCACTAAAGACCTGAGCCAAAGAAACCCTAGCTTTGTTCGAGGACTAGCAAGCAGGCCAATATGTCTGGAACAGAAGAGCAGCAGGGAAGGGAAGAGCAGAAGGAAATAAGGGGAGAGAGATAAGGGGATGAAGGGAAGATCATGTAAGTCTCTGTAGGCCAGTGTAAGAATGTTGGCTTTTCCTCTAAGAGAAAAGGAGCAAATCTCAAGGTTTTGAGCAGAATTATGACATGATCTCATTTTTCAAGAGGATCACCCTGGCTGTTATGCTGAGAATGGTCTGTAGGATGAAAGTAGGAAGGCCAATTTACAGGTTACTATAATAATGCAAGCAGAGATTATGGTGGCTTGAGCCAGGATGGTAGCAGTAAAGGTAGTGAGAAGTAGATGTGGGTGTACACGTGTTGTTGCTGAGGTGTTAAGAAATGAATATGTGAATGTATGTTTTTGCTGTTGTTTTATTGTTGTTTGGTTGTTACAAATAGGTCTTTTTATTTGAGCTTGTTAAAAATCCTGTTTTTGAAGATTAAACATAATATTTTCAGATATGATAAGGAAAAGTATCTGTGCATTCTAAAAGCCTATTATATTTTTTTAATGTGATAACTCACAAAAAAGCCAATGAGAATTATCTGTAGAAATACCAATTTGCTATATAATTAAAATGCTTGGACTTCAAGATATATTCTGAAGGTTGAGGCAACAGGATATGCTGACAGATTGAATGTGAGCTGCAAAAGAAAGAGTGGAGCAAAGGACAGCTCCAAGATTTTCAGCTTGAATAATTGAAAAACAAAGTTGTCATTGACTGAAATGGGGAAGACTGTGCATAGAACAAGTAACCTCTAAGTCAAGTAAAGATAATATCTTCAGGAGAAAGGAAAGATCAAGTGAGTCAAATGCTTCTGATAGGTCAAGTAAGATGAGGACTGAGAAATGGCCATTGGATTTAGCAGTACAGAGGACATATAGTCAGTATGTAGTCTTTTATGACTGACATCTTAACATAATACTTTGAAAGTCATTCATGTTGTTGCGTGTATCAGTAGCTCTAAAGATGATTGAAAAGATCAAGTTTGATGGAGCTGTGGGGATGAAAGCCTGATCAGAATGGTCTAAGAGAGAATGGATGGACTCTTTCTCCTCAATTCTTTCAAGGAGTTTTTAGGTAAAGGGTAGAACAGGTATGAGGCAGTGACTTGATGGTGGGATTGGAGGAAAGATAAAGAGAGCCCAAGAGATTTTTTTTTAAGATAGAAAATCAACACATGTTTGGGCATGATCCAATAGAGAGGGGTAAGAATCTGATAATTTAGGAAAGAGAAGGTAGAATAACTGGGCAGGCCGGGCTTGGTGGCTCAGCCTGTAATCTCAGCACTTTGGGAGGCCAAGACGAGTGGATTGCCTGAGCCCATGCATTCGAGACCAGGCCAGGCAACTTGGTGAGACCTCGTCTCTACAATAAAATAAAAAATTAGCTAGGCATGGTAGCGTGTGCCTGTAGTTCCAGTTACTTGGAAGGCTGAGGTGGAAGGATTGCCGGAGCCAGGTCGACACTGGGGTGAAAGAATCGCTGGAGCCCAGCAGGTCGACTCTGGGGTGGTAGTGAGTGTGCCACTGCATTCCAGCCTGGGTGACGGAGTGAGACTCCAACTCAAAAAAAACCCAAAAAAACAAAAAACAAAACCCTATACTTTGCTGGCTCAAAACTGTAATCCCAGCACTTTGGGTGATCAAGGCAAAAGGATTGCCTGAGCCCAGGGGTTCGAGACCAGCCCGGACAACTTGGCAAGACCTCGTCCCTACAAAAATTTTTTTAAAAAAAATTAGCCAGGCATGGTAGCATGCACCTGTAGTTCTGGCTACTTGGAAGGCTGAGACAGAAGGATCGCCAGAGCACAGCAGGTCGACGCTGGAGTGGCCATGAGTGTGCCATTGCACTCCAGTCTGGGCAATGGAGTAAGACTCTAACTCAAAAAAAAAAGAATAACTGGGCCAATGTCCTTGAGTAGGCCGAAGGTGAAGAGACACAGCATGCAGATTAAGAGCAGGAAATGTTCATCTAACACGAATAAGAGGAAAGCACAGTATGCTGGCAGGTGGTAGAAAGTTGTGGTTGTAATGGTGAGAATTCTTTCCTAATTGCTTTGATTTTACTAAAAAAAAAAAAGTAGCAGCAAAAGATGATTAAAGTGGTAGGGATTTGAAGAGACTAGAGAAAGAATAAAATCATCATCTAAAAAAGCACAAGAGTGAATGCAGTATGATTGCTGAGCTGCATGCTCTAAGGGCCCGCTTGAATTGAAACTGAAAGCACGTACGAGGGTTCTTCTGCTACATCAGTTCCATGGTAGTTGCAGAATAAGTAAAACTGGATTGAACCATATTTCAGCTTTTTCAAGCAAGTAGAGATTTTGTTTTATTTCAGTGATTTGATTACGGGCAAAATATTTTAACTAACACTTCACCAAGGAAGATATATGAATGACCAACAAGTAGGAAAAGATGTTCAGCACCACCAGCCGTCAGGTAAATGCAAATTAAAACCAGTATATGCCCACTAGCATGACTAAAATTAAAGGCTGACAACATCAAATGTTGATGAGGGTGCAGACCAACAGATACTTTCACACACTGCTGGTGGGAATACAAAATGATACAGATAATTTTGAAGACAGTTTGACAATTTATATAAAGGTAAA